ATTGAAAAAAAAACCGGAAAAATTGCCACGTAGGAAAGGCGCCCGCTGCCGTGGCCTAGGTTTCTCACTGAAAATCCTCGTCCCCCGGCGGCACCTTTTTTTGAATTTTCTTCCTTTTCAACGCCGTTTTTCGGGGATTTCGGATTTTTTTTGAATTTTTTCGCAATAATATTCGGAAGATAGATAACTTTTAACACATTTTAATGCAATAAAAATTTTTGGTCGGAGTCCCCCCTTTAAAAAAAAGTGACTTACATTTTTCAAAAATATCAGATCATCAGCAAAAACTTGTCTCATAAAAACTGCTCCTCGATCAAAATGAGCAAATTTTCGAGCATTTCCACCCCCCAAAAAATGTTCGGAAGCATAAAGATTTTTGGCGTTTTTCCATTGATCTAGCTCTTCGATTTTTTGAATATCCAGTGAATTTCGAATTTTGGGATTTGAAAATCCAATGGTTTCCAGGGTTCCAGAAGCCAGGTACGGTAGAATTGAAAGCACATTTTCAGGGGTTGGCACAGAAATACTGATATTTTTCACTTTTAGTAGGCGATTTCTTGATTTTAGAATTTCTACGATGGATTCTAGAATCTTCTGAGATTCCGAACATTGAAATGAGCAATAGTCCATTTTCGACTTTTGAAACTTGAAAAGAAATTCCAAATCTTTCAGAAAAATAGCCAAAAAATCTTGATTTTCCAGCTCCTTTTCCACTTTTTTAATTCCATAATTCAGTGAAATTTTGCAGTTTTCACCGTCTTTTTTATAGGTGATAAGATACATTGGTCCATTGAAAAATGTGTATCTGACGGATATGGTTTCTGGAGAATCCATAGAAAATTCGAGAATTTTCAGACGAGAATCTGGAGACAAATCGTCGATGAAGGCTCGGAAGTTGTGGGTCACTTTGCGGAGGGAGAAACTGAAAAAAAAATGATGGGAGTTGGGGGATTTTTTAGATTTTGTGATTTTCTATTTTTCGAATTTCAGATTTTCCGATTTCTCTAAATCGTTTTTAAAAATCGTTTTTTAAAATATTTTTAATTTTTTCCAAAAAAAAAATCCTGGAAAAAAATGCACGATGCACAATGTAGCTTTTTTCTTGCTTTTTTGTCATTTTGAAGTGGTGGCCTAACTTTTGCAAATTCGGTTTTCTAGGCCATTTCTTCAAAGTGGCCTAAACATTCCCTAACATGTCCCTGGTGCGTTTTCTAGGTCATTTTGAAGTGGTGACCTAGAAAACCAAATTAGGAAAAATTAGGCCACCACTGCAAGATGAATCGAAACAACACGCAAACGATGGAGACGCAGAGATTTTTTTTGTATATCTGTATGCGTCTCGAGGTTCACTTTCTCGTAAAACGATAATATTTAAACTCACATGGATCGAATTTCACACTTTTCCAAAATGTTCTTCATCACTAAATCTGGCATTTTGGATAGAGAAATTTGGGACATTTTTAGAGGAAAAATAGAAAAAAAACTAGAGAAATTTATTCAAAAAAACTCGGTTGTGTGTTTGAATAAAAAAGGACTAGAGGGCGCGTTTGCTTAGTGAGTCATCGGAAGAATAGAGGGGAAAAAGGGAGGGAATACCGAGAAAAAGGTTACTTATCAGTCGGGGAAAAAGGGAATGACGCGAATGACGCTGGTTGAATGATTCTTGGAAAGTCGGAAAATCAGAAAAAAAAAATCAGAAATTCAAAACTTCAAAAATTCGAGATCTCTGAATATCAAAAGTTTCGAAATTTTTTGAAGTTCTGAAATTTAGGAGTTCGAAAGTCAGAAATTCAGAAATTCAGAAATTCGGAAATTCGGAAATTCAGAAATTCGGAAATTCAGAAATTCAGAAATTCGGAAATTCAGAAATTCAGAAACAGTATGTAAAATCAGAAAAGAAGATTCCGTAAACACTCTAATAGAATGTCGATTTAACTGAAAAAAGACGTTTTTGATTCTGTGATGTTGATAATAAACTTACTTGAGCCATTTCAATATAATTTCCGTACTCAAATCTTTGCAAATCCAAATAAATTCATCAGAGCAGTTGTTTTATACAACAAATCCCAAATTTTTGAATCGTTTTAATCGGGTCATGACACATTCGGTTGAGAGCCTGCAATTTCACGCATGTTTCTTTGTCCACCAGACTTTCGAAAACTAACCTGCTCACGGCGAGACGCAGTTTCCGGAAGTAAGACCTTCTGGACTTGTGTAAATTGAGCTCACTATCAGAGAAATTTATCATCTTGTTTTTCTTGTTTTTTTCGGTGATCCCTTGCATCGTTTTTACGTAATCCTTTAAGCTGAAAAAGGCAAAAATTATCTTACCTGCAGAGTTTTCTCTGAATTTAAAATCTTCAAAATATTCGTATTTTTATCGGTTCATAGAATTACTGTCTCCTATAGAAGTCGTATATATAAATTGAACTTTGAATAGTCAGCTGTCCCTAAAAAAATTCCCCTAAAATTTTGCAGAAACGTTCACAACACATTAAAATATGTTCCAGAAAATATAGTTTAAATAATTGAGCGAAAAAAAGGTAAAAGTTGAGAGAAAAACCCATTTTCCTGACGAAAAAAATTTAGGACAACAAAAAAAAACAAAACAATTCATCGGCGGCAGCTGAGTCATTGATGGCGCATTTCTCGTGTCAACTTCGGTATTAGATCTAGTCCAGATCTAATTCCGAATGAACTCAGATCTAATTCCGAATTTCGAGTTATTTGATCTAATTCCGAATGAACTCAGATCTAATTCCGAATCGTTTACCTGAGTAAAAATTTTAGATTTTTTTGACGTTTTTTTTCTTTGTCATATTGTCGGAATAAAACAAGTGAGACTCGGTGTTTGCGTACTTTGATTCCCGCCTCCCCCCACCGACGCTCCGCCCATCGCTTTGCAAGTGCGGCGTGGTGTTTTGGCGCCCCACTTGGAGATC